TTTTTTTTTTCTTTAAGCAACAAACTATTTACCATATTGCTGCGAAATTGGTTATCGAGAAAATGTGCAGCCACATGAGCTGGCAGCAAATTATGTAAGATCCGTTTATTTGATTCCTGTAAAACGTCCATCTCCTTTTTCTCCTGTGATGCTTGCAGCTGCCAGAGGAAATCCAATCGTGCCGTCCACTCAACCAAACGTCCATGTACCAATATTGCAATCATGAAAATTATAATACGCGCCAATGAGATCAAATGGAGCGGAATGGATGAGCTGTGAAGGTAGGCGACAAAATATAAAATAAAAAATAAAATGAATTTAATCAAAGCGAAGGACATAGATTAAATCTTTATATTCTACATAATGAATGAAAAATAAATTTATAATCAGCATAATCTGAATAGTATCTGGCCGCAACAATTTCATAGAAATAACAAGGACTTTCAAATACGTATGTACACACATATGTACATCCATGTGTATGAGCAGTATGTACATTTACTTTACCTGTATTCGCGTTTGACGCAGATATTTAACAGTCATTACACCATTTTGAAAAGCGGCTTGTTTTACGAGGGAGTGAGGCATTTAGTAGGTATTCCCCGCTATTTCAATGCTGATTACTCTGTGCGACAATTTTACGGTAAATCAGGGGCCTATATCATAAAAGTGACTGGTGCGACAATTGTCGATTTTTCTATAAAATTTCAATGCCAGAATTGTCGGCGACATTTTTTCTGTTTCATATACGCTTGTAGGCAACTGCGAAAATTTTTAGAAAACGACAGTGATATTATGAAATATTGTCGACAATTGTGCTGACAATTGTCACTCTGCTAAAATTGTCGCGACAATAGCGACAAAACCAAATAGCTCCGTCGTAAAGCTTTCACAGGAGAGCTTTGTAAACTTATTTATATGGTAATTGCGCGCATTTCATTACTTTTCAATACTTTTAATATTTCTTGAAACTAAAATAACGCAAATGCAATTATTACATATGATTTACATATAAATTACAATTTTGTCTACGACAATTTTAAACCCCGACATGACACTTTTTCAATGGAATTTCTCATGGAATTAATTCGGTGGTGACAATTATTTTTATGAAACAAAACACCCCCAAGCTGTCGCATTGTTACTGACAACATGGAAAATGCCTGTCGTTACAAAATTATCACTGTCGCTTTTTTAAATAGGCCTCAGACTAGGGGGTGATAATTTTGTAATGACAGGCACTTACCGTATTGTCAGGGACAATTCGACAGCTTGGTGGGTGTTTTGTTTCATAAAAACAATTGTCACCACCGAATTAATTCCATAGGAAAATTCATTGAAAATGAATGAAATTTGTATATAATCGATATGCAATAAATGCAAATTCATTATTTTAGTTTAAAGAAATATTCAAATACTCGAAAAGTAATTAAATGCGTTTAGTTACCATATAAATAAATTTACAAAATTCTGCTGTGAAAACATTCAGCCGAAGCTATTTAGTTTTGTCGTTATTGTCGCGACAAATTTGTCAGAGTGACAATTGTCATCACCATTGTCGACAATTACCTTGTTTATATGGCACCAAGCGCGGTATCGAATTAACTCGTGTCAGAGTAGCTCGCTTGAAATGCAAGTGTTTATATGCAACAAAATAAATGAGTCGATCGAACACGCTTTCAAACAGAGTTCATCCCGATGCAACCGTGTTAATACATGTTGCAATTCTTTAAAATAATAAACATGGAAAAATAATAATTAAATACTCAAACAGCCAAGAAAAAAGGATATTAGCTATTAATTTTATAACAAAGCTTAGCCTAAATGTAATTTTAAGAACTATTTAAATGTTTTACTTCATACAGAGTTGCATGGAACAAACGTGTGGACAAATCCTGTATATATATGCACTCTTAACACGATTCAACAACTCTTCACTCGTATTCAAAATGTGATTTATGGTGGCACGGTTAAAAGTTTCAATTCGATTTAGGAATGAGTTTACATGTGTGTTTGTCCAAATAACATGGTTTTACTTAGAACGAATTGAACGACCATATAAACATGGTAAATATTGCAGTAATGTCATTGTCGCTTTCCGAAAACTTTCACAAAAATTTTTGGAATTTTATAGAAAAATCCATGATCAAAAAATAGGAAGGTAGAACCGCTGAGAGGAATTTTTCAAATTCTTGACGTTTGCAAGCAATTTAATTTTAAAATTTTACACACGAACTCACACACACATTTTCATTTTCAATCTCAAACAACAACCACTTTGAACAATTCCTTTTTTTTACTTTCAATTTTATATGATTTAAAAATGTTGGCAAACTTCAAAAAAAAAATCATGGCCGACAAATTGAGAGAACGGTTTTACCTTACTATGTTTTTATCAAGAAAAATCGACAATTGTCGCACCTGTAATTTTTATGAAATAGGGCCGAGCCCCCCAGACTTTGCTAACATTTTCTGAAAGCTTCACTGAAAACAAAATTTCGTATAAGTGCTACGAAAAATTTTAGTAGTCTTGGTTTTTGTACAATGTACGAAACTTTCGTTCGTTCTTTCAATATAATCGAAATACTTATTTGCAGTCTGAATTGGGGGATGATTCCGTGCTCCGAAGTAGAAAACTTTTGACTTTTGACCCCATTTAATGGGGAAGGTGCCTCTGCCCGGCTGGTTGATGTCGTCGGGAAGAAGAAAGGCTGACATCACCGCCATTCAAGAAATGCGAGTAAGTAAGTAAGTGTGAACCCTGCGACGTCTACTACAGTTGCCACGGAAAGGAGCGAAAATTCGGTGTTGGATTCGTGGTAGGAGAGAGCCTCCGTCGCCGAATACTGGCATTCACCACGGTGGACGAACGTCTAGCCATAACCCGCATCAAAGCGCCCATGTTCCGACGGAAGAGAAGGACGAGGCGTCCAGGGATTTCTTCTATGAGCGCTTGGAAAGTACATATGAGCGCTGCCCTCCGACAGGATGTCAAAATCGGGCTTAGTGATTTTAATGCCAAGGTGGGCAAGGAAGGGATCTTTGGCGCCAATGTCGGAAAATTCAGCCTCCACGACGAAACGTCCGATAACGGACTGAGGCTTATCGACTTCATCGGGCCCGAAACATGGTAGTATGCAGTACTAGGTTCAAGCATAAAAAGATCCATTAACCTACATGACTGTCTCCAGATCGAAAAACGTGAAACCAAATCGACCATGTTGTGATAGACAAAAGGCTTGCTTCCAGCGTTTTAGACGTGCGCGAACTCCGTGGGCCATTATCTCTTAGCAGCAAAAAATGTGCGCCTAACAATGCAAGGAATGCTTAACGTCGAAAAGCTGCAATCACAACAGACGGGCAATTTATTCGCCACTCGACTCACATGCCTGCTCTCTGAGAGCACGTACTTGCCGCAATAAAAAGAGAGAGGCCGAAATACGTGAGTGCGAAGAGATTGAGATGCTGGTCGACAGGACCAACGCCCGAAAATTTTACCAAAGGGTTAGGCGACTTACGGAAGGTTTCAAGACCAGGGTGAACGCCTGTAAGAACAACAATGGCGACCTAGTGACCGATGTCCCGAATGTACTTAAATTATGGAGGGAACACTTTTCACCCTACCGAATGGCAGCAGCGCCGAAATTAGTGGAGAAGACGAACTCGAGTCCCCAGTCTATGATGATGGAGCCACTGTTCCACCACCTGACAATAACGAGGTACGAATAGCGATAGCGCTCTTGAAAAACAACAAAGCTGCTGAAGCTGACAGCCTGCCAGCTGAGCTATTCAAGTACAGCGGCGAGAAGTTGATAAGATGCATGCATCAATTCTTATGCAGAATATGGTCAGATGAACGCATGCCCGACGACTGGAATTTAAGTGTGCTCTTCCCAATGCACAAGAAAGGCGATCCCGCCATTCGCGCCGACTACCGCGGGATCAGCCTTCTGAGTATAGGTTATAAGGTGTTATCGAGTGTATTGTGTGAAAGACTGAAGCCCACCGTCAATGAACTGATTGGCCTTATCAGTGTGGCTTTAGGCCTGGTAAATCCATCATAGATCAGGTATTCACAATACACCAAACCTTGGAAAAGACCCGCGAGAATACGATCGACACACCATCTATTTGTCGATTTCAAAGCCGCTTTCGAAACTAATACGGCTGTGTAAAATGACGTTGAACAATACCACTAGCTCCGTCAGAATAGGGAAGGACCTCTCCGATCCGTTTGATACCAAACGTGGCGTCAGACAATGTGAACCTCTTTTTCGAATGATTTCTTTGATCTGATGTTGGAGAAGATAATAAGAACCCCAGGACTGAACCGCACAGGCACAATACTTTACAAGAGCGTACAATTGCTGGCGCATGCCGACGACATCGATATTATCGGTAAAAACAAGGGCTTTGTCTGTTTTGCCTTCTCGGGATCGGATAGAGAAGCAAAGCGAATGGGTCTGTGGTGAACGAGGACAAAACGAAGTATCTCCTCTCTTCACACAGTCAGAGCATACGCGTCTTGGCACCGACATCACTGTTGACAGTTACAATTTTGATAAAGTAGCCACATCATTTATTTGGGAATCTATATATTATTCTGAAACAAGGCGCTTGTCAGCATTAACACCAATAATAATGTCAGCCTTGAAATCCAATGGAGAATCACTCTTGCCAACAAGTGCTACCTTGGACGGAGTAGGCCTCCTCTGCGTTGGAAAGACCAGGTGGAGAAGGACTTGGCTTCATTTCCAATTAGCGTCAGGTAACACAGAAGAAAAATGACTGGCGTGCTGTTTTGGAGTCGGCTAAAATCGCTTAGGTGGTTACAGCGCCAATGAAGAAGAAGAAGTCTGAATTGGTATATGTTTGACATTAGTCAGTGATGATCATCTAATCTATACATACAAATACATATGCATATTTTTATAAATGAAAATCGAGGTTCCTTTTTCGGTCTATTTTCAAAGCTACTGAAGAAGCTTGAAGGAGCCTTGGTAGAATTAACATTAATCAGATCTAACCACTCCACAACAGCGGCCGCTACACATACATTCGTAGTATGTATGCCCATATTCATGTCTGTGTTTTTTTCACTTTTATTTCAACATAGTTTGATGAAAAGAAAAATACTGACGCAAATAAAATATTTCACACAAACAGGGTTGAAATTTTGAAATTCGTATTTTGTTTGTAAGTGAAATATTAGTGGCATTGTGCTATTATGATAGCACGACCGAGTAATCATATTCAACTTATGTACACCAGCCGAAAAAATTACAGCCACACCAAATTTTTGCAAGTTTTAAAATATTATTTTTATTGTTATTAAATTTTGGTTAGTTTGATATAGTTCATTCTTTAACATTATCCGTATAAATACAAGTTTAAAGGCAGTGTCACACGCACACAACTGCCGGGTAATCCTATGTTAATGTGTAAGACCCTGTGAACACGGTGTAAATATTAGACAATGCGACTTTGATCTAATTTTATTATTGCTCAGGATCTTCTTCATTTCCTTCGTCTATAACGCATTTGCTCTTCTGAGCTTAATATTTTGATGATACTAAGACTTTCTCCACCGACCAATGGCGTTTAGCGATCTGCCCTCTTCAGTACGATTCCATATAGAACTCTGGTAACATTGACTTCGCCCACCTAATGCCCTGTTTGAACCTTTACGAAGTCTTCCTACGAGAGCTTATTCTTGCTGATAAGACCAGCTGACGAGCGGTACAACAGTTTTGGAGCGGGACTTTAGAGGGTTGTGCTTGCCCAGTGTACATTTGCTTCAAGTTCACCATATTGGTCGCTGCACTCCAGTGGTAAAGCGTTACCCAGCGACAATGAGATGTGTTGAAAAACGAGGAGCATTCTGTTATAGTGTATATCGATGGACAGAGACTGCTAGTCTTTAATACCACCTTACAAGAGGCAATGCTTTGGCATGAAGAATAATAAGTGCCAGGGGCGCTTATAACCGGAATATGCGCCGGTTTTTCTCATAATGTAATATGTACTTAGATAGCAACAGATATTAGCTGCAATGAACTCTTTAGATTTGACTTAACAAATTATTTAGATATCGCTGAGTATAAGAATTATAATGTTTATGTGTTTGTAGAAAGGCTATTGGTCCAAGGCATAACAAGGTAGAAGTGATTTCGACATTTCTCTCTTTTGAACTGCGACTGTAATGTCAACTCTTAACCCTATAGAATTCAAATTTTAATTTTTTAATTTCAATTTTCAATTTTGAGCTGTGCGACTGATTTTAAATACATACATACAAAAATAAAATGAAAAGGAATTACGAGCGGTGCGCTCTGCCGAGTATTTCCAAGCGGACGCGTTTGTTCCCAGGTGCAGTACCTCTACCATACAATTCCTCAATGCTTGAGTTATCTGAAGTGTCGGCCGTTCCTGAGGTGTCTGTGGGGACGAAGTTAGCTGTTGGTGCACAGACCCAAACTGAGTAAGTCTGCCATAAACAAGCAGTACATTAACATATACATATAAGCAAATGCTCCGCGAACACCATGATACAATTTCGTTCCACTAAATTTACCGCTTTAGATCACCATTTACTGTTATAAATTCGACGTTCTGGTTCTTAACATCCCTTTTCCTTTTTTCATAATGCCATATGAAAAGAGTCGTGTTTTTATTTTTCATACATAGCTGGATTTATCATACGGAAATTAAGCATTACTGAATATGAGGAGAAAATCTCCTACTCATATACATGTATAGACCAAATGTCAAATGGTGGTATGATAAAACCTAAACCAGAATTCCTTGTGGACATAAAGAAACTGGAAGTAATTTTTAATAAATTTAATGGAAAAGAAATTTCGCATTGCAAAAATTTAATAGTTGAATTATTGAAGTTAAGTTCCGATGTAAATTTAGAAGAAAAAATCAACATTTTTTTTTTTAACTGTCGAATATACTCTAGAATTAAGTATTTGAATAAAAAAATAAATGCTCAAAAACATTGGGCTAATAAAAACAAGAAAATTGCCAAAACGGGTTTATAAATAATTGTGTTTCATTTAGTGTGTAATTTTGAGTAAGTATGCATTTCCACATTTACATTAAACGAAAATACAAAAACTAAAATGAAGCCGATTTTAATGTGATTTTAAATATTTTCATATTTACAAAAACTTTCATTTCATAGATATTGAATTTTATCAAATATGGTACATGCATAACAAAGGGTTAATTTCTTTGTTTACGTTTTTTGACATAACAGTCAGGTATGAGAGAGCTCGACTGAATTGTCACTTCTACCTTGTTGAATATGCCTTGATTCTGGTCGTAATGGCCTCATATCACCCGAAAACTCACAATAATTGGGATAAAATCGTATTAATAATTATTAATATATTTACATACATACACTTAATAATACTTACTTCACTCTGCTGTCATAACAATCGAAAATATTTATGTGAGACATTTCAATGAAAAGTCCATAAATGGTTCCCATCAACAATATCAGCAACGATTTAAAAATGATTGGCAAACTGTGATAAAAATAAAAAAAATATAATATTGTATTAAATATTTTATATATATGTAGAACAACATATTTAAATATGTATGTGCACTGAGGGAAAAAATTTTAGAATTAAAAAAAAGCTAAATTAAAAAAAATACGCATATGAAAGAGCACCAACCCAACTTGCTTTAAATTCGAGTATGTACTTTATAAAATAGGTCGTTGTGAAGTGCACAGATGCTTTTTCTTAATTAAGAAGAAAAAAACAACAATTTTATGTTCCGTCTGGTGGTAATGGAACCCGGACTCTCTTGGCAGCAACCAATCGTATCAAGGGTCTTTGCACACTCAGCTACAGCCATTCATGTAAATGTGTTTTCAATTGTTGGGCTCGAAATAGAGCTGGAAGACTATCGATCGTGTTTTACTATCGAAAAAATCGATGGTTTTGTAATCACAATCGATAGTTTTCACTTATACATAAATTATTAAAAGAGAGTTAAAGCCGGCGGCAAATAATTTCAGAGCGCAGATGCTGCTTCCCAGTGGGAAAATAATAATGTATAGTAATCGAATCAGTAAAACAACCCTTTTCACATTCGAAAATGTAATTTTTTCCCAGGGCGATGTCCTAAGAAAAGTGGGGCATTCAATTTTGCATTATCTAGTGTCGAGAAATGAATGTGTTTTAATATGAAATTTTTGGAACTTTTTGAATACATTAGAATGCTGATAACATAGTTAGCAGTAATATTATCGAGAACGCGTAAGAAATACATTATATTATTTAGCACGCATGTAATGCCTTACTATTTTTCCGACTGGGTTGAAGCCAAAAATTGTTGATAAACTTTTTTTCCTTAACGAAAATATGGACATATTTTGATCTCACATTCTTGTGTTTAATTTTTAGACTTCTTTAATCAAAACTATCGCTAGTACTATCGATAGTGTCGACATTTTCGATAGTATCGATACTATCTATGGTTGTGAATATCGATTATCGAAACTATCGATGGACACGACCATCGATAGTTTTCCAGCTCTGGTTTGAATCAACATCACAGCGCGCGATTAGTGCATTTGTCCAAATAAACATGCATGTATGTATACATATACTTTCTCAATTACATATGAATAAAATTATAGTTTAAAAACTAAAACGTCCCTATTATAATTGCCATTCGTACTGTCATCAGGTATGTAACTTGAGAATAGAAATCGCTGCATCTTTTGGGCGCATCAATATTACATAGTTACATCCGAGCTAATAAAACGAAGGTAATAATAATAGAAAGCATCCGAGACGTGCAAAACGCCATCCGTGCAGTGAAAAATGCTTCATTTTAATACGGGCATGTTTGAATTGAATATTTCCATAATATGTAGTGCATATACAATGGAAATATAAACTTTTTTATCACTTTTCCCTTGGTTTAAATACGAACATCAAATCAAATAAAAAATTTTCATTTCTACAACGTGTTTTTTTCTCAGTGTACGGGTACCAGTGTTGCCACACATGAGCTTTTCCTACCAAAACTTGTAGGTTTTTTTCCATTTGGTGGGTTGGTAGGGTTGATGCGATTTTGGTAGGTTTCGGGACAATGAGTAAAAGTTATTTGCTCAAAATAGAAAATATGTATCTCCAAATATTTTAGCAACCCTTTTTACACGAATATTTCACAGGTGAGTTCGTATAGCGGTAGCCGCAAACATGTAAATATACCTGAATCCTAAGTACAAACGTAAACCCTTATTATTGCCATTATTCAGGGGAGGCGAAAAAACGATGTAGTTTCGTATTACCTGTCATTCTGTATCAAAAACTAAGGTGTGAAAAAAATGGACTAGGCACCTTTACACCTTTAGGTAGCGATATAATTTGTGGCGTACGTGGACCAAGATTGAAGAAAAGTCTGTCAATGGGCTCGTACCCAACCATATTCCAGGCGGAGGTTTTCAAATTGTTGCTCACTGGCGAAAGTCAAAGGGAATAAGACAATCAAAGAGATTCATGACTCTTTCCTGGAGGAACTCCGAAAGACACCTTGAGTTTAAAACTTTTACTGCCAACCAGACAGCACACTGCATGTTAACGTACCGTTTGAATTAAATGGGTCTTTCTGTAGAGATGGACTATAGATTTTGTGGGCTGGTGAAGGAAACCCCAGGGTATATTCTATGTGCCTGTCCACGAAGCATGAATCGTAGATTGATACTCCTTGACGCTTGGGTGTTTTGACGACGAAAAAGGACGGGTGAAAAAAATTTGCGAAAAAAGATGCGTAAACATGGATTCAACATCATTCCGGAAAAACTCTTTGGGGAAATCGTATACTGTTACACTCGCAAACATAGTTGACCACGAACATAAGTTACGTTTGCCTTCAAAGAAGTTAACGCGGCTTTCTTGCCATCACCTATGTCAAGAGTCTTTCTTCGCCGAATTTTTTTTTCACGCGTCTTTTTTCGCTGTCATCTTTTGAAATCGCGTCTTTATTCGTATCTAGTGACGATAAGTCTGTTCGTTACACGTAGTTAATTTGTTTTTATTTTACTAGCCGTGTTATAGTTTTACTAAATGTTATATTACGGTTGCCAGACGTACTGATTTTATCAGTACAGTACTGATTTTTCAACTCTTGTACTCATTTTATTCATTTCCTCAATCAGTACGCTAATGTCCTGATTTTTCAAAATTTGCACTGATTTGTAGTGAATTTTGAATTCAAACAAAAAACTTTAGGATTTTCTGATATCAATCGTTTTACGGACATATCGCCGGGTCGTTACGAACCAGTTGCGATAATAGGTTTTTTCCACAATCTACTCGAAGAACTTCGAGCTACACATACGCGTTCCACAACTAAGTTTTAAGGCCGGTCCACATAGAACTTTCGCGTTGGTTTGGTTTGACAGAACGCACGTTAAAAGTATGCTTGCTACAATGAACGCTGGGCAAAGAATGCTTGGGCCCCTAAATTAACATACTAATGACAGATAAATTAATATTTCATATCAATAATTGCAATCAAAATGATATTTCTTGTAATTGTATTTATTTGCAACAGCTGACGAGCTACGCACGCGAAAAGTTGAGAGTTGGCCATCTTTTTGCTTCGTGTTGGAGTGAGCGTTGTCGAAATTTGGCTATGTGGACGGGTGCATTTGAATTCATGTATTTATAGTCGGCGGTTGAAGCGACGCCAACGCAACGCCAAAGTTCTACGTGGACGGGCCTTTAGAGTTTCTTTGATATACATAAACAGTTTGAACTTTGCTCGAGTTTTTCTACAAGTAGCTTGTGGAACAAACCTAATATCGAGGGCTTGTATTCAATAGCCTCTATCTGCAATTTTCATAAAAACAACTTTGTGATGTTAGAACCCTTCTGGCTCTCATTTGTCATCACTGGTGTTAATTCTGACTTTGCAATTTAAAAGTAAATTCTTCTGTCAAGCGTGATACAAAGCCAGCATTAACATCACCGAGGACAGTTAAGTCTTAAGTGGATTTTTATGTTAGAATCTCATTTTTGTGAAAAATGTAGATAGAGGGTATTGAATATAACCCCTCGATATGTTGGAGGTTTAATTATTTAAAAAGGAGGCTGACTTTTTTTTGTCGGGTTTGCTTGCCATCTCGAAAATAACTTTCAGTTTAATAACAACAAATTTGAATATTCAAATGGCGTTTGCCTATAACTTACAATTTACTCACATTGTAAAAGAGTTTTGCATACAAGATATAGAGTTAGATACTCTTTTTTAGCGAATTCTTATTCTTTCAAGGTTTTTGCGTAGTTGAAAAAATATGTAATTACGTTTTTTTTTCAATAANTCGAAAATAACTTTCAGTTTAATAACAACAAATTTGAATATTCAAATGGCGTTTGCCTATAACTTACAATTTACTCACATTGTAAAAGAGTTTTGCATACAAGATATAGAGTTAGATACTCTTTTTTAGCGAATTCTTATTCTTTCAAGGTTTTTGCGTAGTTGAAAAAATATGTAATTACGTTTTTTTTTCAATAACACACTCAAACGAAGCAACTGAGAGGATCTTAAGTGTAAAGTTTTCTTCCTGGCGCAAAGGAAGAAACCGGCTCCTAATTAACATTTTTTAAAGTGAACTTCATATTAAAAGTAATTTTAAAATGAAAAATATAGAATTCTTTGAATATTTATACACTGAAGATGGAAATGATCTCATTATTGCTATTCAAAAATTTCACCAATATAAAGTAATGTGTACACTCATGTTAAAATTAATAACACTTTTCTTATGAACTATATCTGACATTTTAAAGTATTATCTGATACTTACATTCATAATTTTGCTTTGAAGAAAAATGCACTGAAAAGTACTGATTCTTTTAGCATGAAAACGCCTTACGTACTGATTTCGCGCATAAAAAATCTGGCAACCCTATGTTATTTTAGCTATATTTTTAATAAATTTGGCAATGAATGAAAATACTAAAACTCAAAAAATTTTTTGGTAGGTTTTGGTTGGTTATGGTAGGAAATTTTGGTAGGAAAAAAAGTGTGTCTGTGGCAACGCTGACGCGTACGTTACATTACAAACAAAAAAATTCGCCGTACCGTAGGGTACAGTATTTTTGCGAGGCAATTTGGAAATTTCTTTATGGCGGAACCTATAGGTCTCTTTTTACATACACGTACATACGACAGTAACATTTTTTTTTAATACATAGTTCCATTGGAATAATGGAGATACTTCCTTGGTAAAAGTTTCATGATTTTTTGGTTAGAGTGACAAGAACTGAGATCTGGTGGGTACGTATTAGAACGCACTTTGAAAAAAAGACCTCCTCGAGACAAAAACAACGATATATCGATGGAACGGTCAATGTAGAAGCTATGACAAAAAATGTAAAAGAGCCAACCCCTTCTTTCGCCCAAAATAAAAAATTCGTTATGAACCATCCCTGTGCTAGTAATGTCACAACACATGCACCTTCGTTGGAAGAAGAATTACTCATGTTGGGTCATCATAGTGAGGCACACAGAAAATGCTCGCTCCCTCAGTATGTTTCGTTGTCGGCAACATTTGCATTTTTGTCGGTTTCAGTATTTTTACGGTGAGTATCACTTCATAAAATTTAAAAGACACACATAAACATAATTTGTATACACATTAGACCGCACCAGAAAAAAGCTGTACACCCCAAGGTACCACCCTAATATCAGTAAATTAATGGTCGCCATAAATCATTAGGCTTTTGCTAAGGATGTATTTATATTTGAAGGCACTTT